TGATGCATTTCAACTCCCCCCCGCGACGTGCACAGTAGTCTGCTACTTTTGCCGCTGCTCCTACTGCTTTTGCCTCGTTGCCCCCTTGCCCTGTCGCCCGAGGCAAGCCACGGTGCGACGCATCGGGCAGCGGAACCAGCGCCGGTTGGAGAAGCTTCGGGAGCTCTGAATCACCGTGGATGGATCCGACTGACACATCCATACCCAAGGGGCACACGACCACCCAGAATCTGACGAGCAGCGCTTGCCGGGTCTACAAAAAAGTCTACAAAAAAGGTCGGGAAGAGCGGAAGCTACCGACTTTGTGGATTCGGGGCCTCGAAGCCCCTGGTAAGCCTTGGTCAGCTGGCACATTCTCTTGTGAGTTCAGAAGACTGGAAAGTGCCAATTTGGCATCGACCTGAGCGGGGATTACACTTTCAGTGCTGGATAGTGCTGACATTGACCGGTGAGGTGAATCACGCCCAGAAGCTGGTTGTGGACTGTTTGATACTCATTGTCACATTGTTTTCGTCTCGCAAGGTGAATGGCGCACTGAGCTAGTTCGTGTTTTAACAGACTCTGCGCGTGCGAAGGGTTGCCTCAAAGGTGAGCGTAGAATGGCCGTCGGGAGTGGGATAGCAGTGAGGGAACAACTGGGCAGAGAGTTTGGCAAAAGAAGCATCTTTAGGATCATAGCTGTTTGTCGCGGGAGAAACTAAGATACCGCAATCCTGATTCCAAGAGGCCTTTTGTTGAACTCTCCAAGCAACTTGGATTGCATTGCTTTCAATGGCCCTGGACGCATCCTCAATGCCACGAGCATCGCGGGCCGCCCGGATCCGCGGGTTCGAGGCGAGTTCTGCCCCCGCGGGCGCTGGTCCGGTGGCTGGGGCTTCCTGGAGTGCGAGCGCTGCCCGGCCGGGAAGGTAGGCACCCAGGCCGGGGCGAATCGAGTCGGCCGAATCCGTGGGAAGGTTTCGAGGTCGAGAGAATATCTGGAGTGGTTGGAATTGGTGATGGAAATGGTCACCCCCAAAATGTAGTCCCAGGGCTCCTGAAGTTTGAGTAGGACTATTGGACATTGAAGCTGCGCAGTTGGCTTGGATTGGCTTGTGGCGAGCCTCCACCTGAGATCCAAGCAATAAGAGAGCACGAAACCTGTACGTAGGATGCAAGGAGAGAATAGAGGCGGGAGTCATCGCCCTAGAAGGAAACGGTGTGACATGATGTCTTTGGTTTACCTTTGTCCTCGAACCAGACCCAATTAATTGAGGCTCCTTCGGTGTCGGATCTTCAGAGGCGGGCCGCAGCCTGCTAGAGGAGGCCTGCAGTGACTGCCCGCCCGGGCGCAGCAGCGAGCCGCAGCCTGAGGGACGAATGCAGTGGAGAGCATCTTCTTTGTTGGTATACATAAGTGTTTCTTGGCTTTTAGTAGTTTTGCTTGCTATCACGGTTTGATTTGTTCAATATCAGCGTGTTGTCTATTTCTGCTGTGTGTGATCGGGCAGCCCTTTGAGTGAATTGGATAACATTTCCGATAAGAAAAACTCATGTACGGTCCGCAAATGCTGAGCATCAAAGTTCTGGCTCGATGTCACCAACCCCCTATCTTCAGAGACCTCAATGATGTCAAGCGTGTGTTGAGGAACACGTGTAGCCAGTAAACCAGTAAACTCAATTAGACGCTTGAACTCTCCTTGGTCAGCGCGTCGGGCGACTCCGAGCCAAACCTCCGAGGCCTGGCGAGCTCAGTTGCTCCGCCTGCCCGGCCGGGTCTTGGGCACCCACAGGCGACGGCGAGTCGGGGGAGATGGCCAAGGAAGCAAAAGGGAAAGCCGCAAAAGGCTGGTTGGGGGATCGTGCGCAAACAGATTGGTAGAAGATTGGCCTCAAAAAGTCACGGGCGAGCCATTTGCGTGTGCTGGTGCTCACTTTTCTTCATGTGTATTGCCCCCATCAACTTGCCCGATTGCAAAGGGCTGCCTTCCGCCTTGCTTCTTTCCTGGCACGCTTTTCTAATTGAGTGCTGTCAAATGTTCCCCCGAAGCACTTTAGCAGCGCTCAAAATCCGTGCTGATCGATAAGGATTCACTCGCTTGTTTCCCGGTTTGATGAGGGTTATAGTTTCTAGCACAGACCTCCATCCAGAAGTCAATGGACTTGGAACAGAAAAGAGAGAGAGAGAGAGAGGTATAGAAAGAGAAGAGAGAGCGAGAGAGAGAGAGCGAGATAGGGAGAGGAGAGGGGCACGGTGGTGGTTCACACCACGGTGTTGTTCTGCAGTGCATGAAATGTTGGCCGTGCAAGTATGAAGTTGTCGGAACATTTCATTAGATTATTGAGCCGCCCAAGGAGCAGAATCCATTGCATCCCATAGATTTGGCCTGCGCAAGTGCCCATTCCTCGCAGGCTCCGAGTGCCTTGCCTGTCCCAGTGGCCGCTGGAGCGATGCGGTGGAGGCGAGGGGAACCAGACGCAGGCGTCAGGTGCGGATTGCGCGAGCATGGCCTTTGGCGGCTCCCATCGAAAAACGTCGCAGTTGGAGGGTGCGACCTTTTGATACATCCCACAATTCCTGGATTGCATCTTGAAAGGAATCGAGGTGGTCATGTCACCCTATTGCAAAGATCCTCCTGTGCAGTTAGGACTGCCCTCGCACATATTGTTTTCTTTCTTTTTTAGCAAAGTTGAGCAGGAAAAGAAGCCCAGGTGAATGTTCCCTGGGAAGCGTCGCGCGCATGATGCTGGGAAGGTTGTCAAGGTTTCTGCGAAGCGCGGCTCGACCAAGATCAACCATGAGTTCCAAGATGAAAATGGGAGTCTTTGTCCTTTGCACCCTCCCCATGGTGAGAGGAGCGGCACGATCTGTCAGGCTGTGCACGAGGACACCTGTCAGAGGTGCCCAACGGGCCGTGGTGCCGGCTCTGATTTCGAGAGCGTTGGGTCCAAGTCTTTGATCCGGTCCTTGGCGAATCCTTCTAGTTCTTTGGTCCTGACCGAAAATAGGATGGCGAAATTGACGAGCCCGACGAAGGGTTTCCTGGTTTTAGACACACTGCAAAGCCTGGTGAGATCCTTCCCAAGGCGTGTATAGTTTGCAGTTCGAAGGAGTTCGGCGTGCTCTAGTCAAGGCGCCGATCTAGCGCCTTTTCCAGCAACGGACATGCTGATACATAGCGTCTGGTTGGCAAAGACTATTGAACATGGACACATGGTTCTCCTCGCAGGGGCAAGGACGGGGGCGTTTGACGGGCGCGTTTCTCGTCAATCAGATAAACACAATTTCTCTCAAGTGGTAGGGTCGCGGACTTTTGAAGATTTGTGAGAGCCTTTTCCTGCATGTTTGCAAGCTGCGGTGTGCTAAACATATACTTCTGGCCGATCATTGTGCTTACTGCCAGGCATCGAATCAATGCTCTGACTCCGCGGAATGGTTTAGTAGTACATTGTGATCCTACAGTTCTTTCAACGACACCTGGCAGAGCAAGTCTTCATATTTGGGTACCATGCGAAGCCTAGAATCAAGTCTCCCAACACCCTTTTTTCAACCCAAAGTTCAGCAAAGGCCAAACCACAACCTCTCAACCAATCCGAATCCACAACAAGCAAACAGACAAAAATGACAAACACTGCGCCGAAGCCTCCCCGGCCAGGCTTTGGCGCGCAAGCCGGCACCAGCAGCTCTGAGGTCTGTGAGCTCTGTGCCCGGGAGCCTAGCCGCCGGTCAGATGGGGCTGTCCAAGGTGGGTTTTTGTTCGGGGGCGCCCGTGGCGACCCCGTTTAGTTTTGGGTTGTTCAAAAGGAACCGAAAGGAAGCGCCCCATGTTTTCGGGCCCGTTCCTGTTTCGAACCGCAGTCCGCCACACACAGATTCTCCCAGTGAAGGTGTTGTCGGATTCTTTTAAACGCTGAAAGTGGTTGAACTTTGCTAAGGAATCCCATTGAACGTGAGAGGCCGAACTTGCATGTGGTCGACGTTTGCGGGATGCTGAGCCAGTTTGACTCGCTTGATGTGCGCTGAAGCGCGCTCAGGTATTTTCATCACTTGAAACAGCAGCTTCTGATGGGCAAACCACACCAGTCTACAACAATCCACTAGGGAAAAAGGTTGCCGAGCCCGCGTGTTGAATCCTCGGCTATTCAGAAGGGTTTTCTTCATATAGGGAACCTCTTTCTGGCAGGTTTGTAGAGGGAAACAAAAGGCAACCCGGGCATATCAAGGCGCTGTCATCAACAACCTTATCGACATTGGATGGATTCCGCGAAATCGAAGGCCGATGGTAGTGGCAAAGGTCGTAGCTCCGAAAAGGCATGACGCACGTGAACGGACCTTGATCAGCCTGAGGCCAAAGGGCATTGGAATGATCAGCTCGGAGCCAGCGCACGGGTTCTCAGCTGGGAAGGTCCACTGCAAAAAGGGCGAGCCCTTTTGAACAATCCTCCTCTAAGAAGGCAACCACGCCTTTTGGAGGCATGCCCTTCGGGAAAGACAACAACGTGAGTGTCGTCGTGAGAGGCCAAGACCATCGCAGCAACGGCAATTTCCGCAAACTGAACCTAGATGTGATGCTTCAAGTCTCTCCAGCACAGCTTACAAGAGCTTTTTGCAGAAGGGCCCTCCATATGCAGTGTTCTCTCTCGCACAAAACAAACAGTTCTGGCACTGCAAGTAAGGCCCAATAGCAAGAATGCAAATCAGCCGTTTCTTTTCTGCAGGCGGTTCCTCCTTGTTGCCCTTGTTCCCAGCTGAGACATCTGAATGAACCCGAGATGCTGGCGGAAAAGAGAAACGCTCGGGGGACCATCCGAGCTGGTGCCAGCCGCGGCAAAAATCCCAGTCGTATGTTGGGCATATTTCGGGGGCAGTTCAGAAAACAATGACAAACAACTTCTGAGGTTTCATGTTCGGGCTCAGCACCCCTCCCCCCCCGGAGAGTGTCTCATGGTGTTGTATTTTGATGTTTGCTTGGTTTATTTAGCCACACGGCATCGTGATGCAGCACTGAGGAGTGCTCGAAATGCAGCGCCGGGCGATATCTGAACACGTGGCTTGGCTGAATGGAGCTGGCCGGAAATCTGGAAGCCTTGGAGGCTGAGCTATGAGTTTGAAGCTAAGGCACTTGATGGCTCTTTCCATTCAAGTTTAGTGGACTCTCCGCTATCTTGCGAATTCTGGACTGTTGAGCATACAGACTTATGCAATCTTTCCTCTGTCAAGCGTGTCACTATTCAGAACACAGCCTTGTTGCGACCCTGCACTTCGGCTTGTGCATGGCCGAATTTAAGCCTTGCCCCAACGGAGTCTTGGTGAGTGGTGTCTTGCTTTCACTCGATTGCCAAGGACCACAGTCTGGTGATGGGTCTATTTTTCCCGCTGGCTTTGTCTTCGCGAAAAGGCCGCAAGTTCCAAATCCATTATTGTTTTGCTGGAGATGGGGAGTTGATAGTCCACATTATCCATGCAGTGCAGGAGGAAGTGCAAAACACCGAGCCATCAAGCATGAACGCAGACCGCCCACTCGCATGCCGCGTGGTGCACGGATGTTGCGGCATCCTTCCAACGCGCCCAGGACAGGGGCCACGAGCTCAGAGCTGTGCGAGGCCTGTGGCCTAGGCCGAGGGATCGGGAGCAGTGCCTCGATCGGGATTGGCGATCGCAATGCGCTGCAAGATAAGCTTGGTACCGTGTCGCAAGTTGTCTCCAGGCCTTTACTATAGTGGTTCAGTCCCAGTGCACATCGAAAGGAATGAGGTTGGAACTGAAAGGTGGACACATGCCAAGGTTGGCAGAACATTCATCCCAAATAATGCTGGGACTTGCCCCTGCAGATTTGTCATAGATGGCCTTTCGTGGTGACCAGTCGTCAGGCGACCATTCCAAGGACGCTCGGGCTTCATCGGCTCGTGATGTGAAATAGAAATTCAGAAAGCAGCTGGCAATCTGGCTCGTAGGAAACACGCTTGTTGGGGCATCCAATTTGGAATTGCTTTGCGATCCTTAGGACCCGACACTTGGCCCTATCCTTGATCGTTTCTTTGGCGCTGCAAAGTGTCAGACGTCGAATGCCACTTGAATTCCTATAGATCCAGGTTAGCTGTTAGCTCAGGAGCGATGCCTTTGGCATGTTTCCAGGGGTAATGGCAAGCCATCAAGCTCTTGATCCGCATGGATTTGCGCACGTTTGCTGGAAGCGTCAACTCGGAAAGCGCGTCAAACACCTGAAGGATGGCTACCACTCCTGCTTCATCAGTAGAAGGGCCTAACAAACTGGCCTTGATTCTCTATCCAAATGCAGAATTCCTCGGCCAACGTTTATCAATGTCGAAGTGTCACATTGCAATCGCGTTGCAAATCGGCAGGCCATGCCAGCCCTCCTGGCTCGGAGTCTTGCGAAGACTGCGTGCCTGGGCGTTTGGGAGCCCAGAGCCGGGACCCTTCTGGAAGGCAGATTGGATGGAGGTTGAGAAGGTTTGTTCTCCGCAGTGGCGATTGGATTTGCGGCATTTCTGGACATGGAAGGACCATGCATCTAGTGGGGTGAAAGACCTTCAGCCCAGACTCTCAAGCCCCAAAATGCTAAAGCGCCTCAATGCGTTCAGAGATTTACAATTGAAGATTCTCAGGACTCTGTTTGAATCGTTAGTTAATCCAGAAAAATGGACAATACCCAGTCATCGGTGCAAGCTCGATGTTCTCCAGCACGGAGGAAAAGGAATAGCACAAACTGCAACGAAATGAACAAACTGGAATGCAGCTGAATCAACGACTGAACCCAAGCGTAAACAAGGTGAATAATGCTGCAGGTTTCTCCCCCGGGAGATGGTTACTTCTCAGTTTAGGACAGAGGGAGCTGCCAGTCTGTTTTTCCAGACTGTGTTTGTCGGCTTGTCCTTCACTCAAAGATGAGGGTGCCGATTTGTCCGAGGCTGGCGTACCAAACTGTATGTATGTATCGTAATATGTAATATGCAATATGTAATATGCAATATGTAATATGTGATAATATAGTAATGTCATATGTAACATGTAATATGTAATATGTAATATGTAATATGTAGGGTGATGTAGAGTATGTATCAACATTATTGCTATCTTTTTTTGCTATGTACATAGATACCAGCTAGACATCCAGTCGACCTACTGTGCCTTGCCCAGTCCTCATCTTGTTGCATCGCGCGTGCGGGGCTGCGCGTTCGCGCTTGCATCGTGCGTGAGGCTTTGGTCCCACCGACACCTCTCCGGAGTGCGAGTTTTGTCCAGCCGGCCGCTGGGTGGAGGCCGGACGGCAGCCGGTGCTCGCTTTAGCCTGCGGATAGCTGGCTTTGAGCTTCTTTTGGCTTCCCAATAAGCTGAAGGATGACAAGCAGGGCTCGCTTTCTACCTGAATGGGCCATTTACCAATGGGCAGCAAGGTTTATGTGAGTGTTCACATGCACAGACAGGCAGGCAGCCAGCCAGGCAGGCAGGCATGCAGAGACACAGAGAAACAGAGACACACAGGCTCAAAGGCACAGACGCACTGAGACACACACACACACAGACACAGGCAGACAGGGGCAGACACAGACAGGGGCAGACAATGACAGACAGAGGCAGGCAGGGGCAGACGGGCGACAGAGTAATTCCTGTCTGGACATAGAAGGAGCTTGTTTTAGCTCTTCAACGCCAGGGCAAAACAAAAGGAGCACCAAATACAACAGTGCATGCTACCGTGTGAAGCAGCGTTTGGGAATGACCTTAGCGTCACACCGAAGGGATGACAGCGGCACATGATCTACGTCCCTTGCCAAGGGACGTCCTATCCTCTCTACATCCTTTTAAAGCAAGCAACAAAACGGGTGCCAAGTCAAACGTCCACGGGCCCAAAGTAGTGCCTGAGGGCCATGCGAGTCCGACAGGTGGCCCTGGCCAGCAGCTGCACCTTCTGCGCGGCGGGCCGGTCCAGCGTCACGGAGGGCGCCAGCAGCCAGGAGGCGGGGGGGGGGGGGTGGGGTGGGGTGGGCAGGGGGGGCTGATTGGAGGCGTGTCTTGGTGCATAGCTTGGCCTACAGATGGCGAGGACGCAGCTGTGACGGCCAGAGAGAGCATGCATAATTTCTTTGGCATGTTCATTCGACCGCGTTCTCACCCTGCTGGCCGTGCAACATCGATCGATGCGCGATGGCCAGGCCTGCTCGGATTGCACCCCAGGCCGAGCAGCGAAGGAGACGGGTAGCAGCGTCTGCGAGCAATGCCCCGCAGGCGAGTGGGTTTTTGGGCACAGCGGCCGTCTATCAGGTGCTGGTTGCTGTCAAGCCTGATGTGTGCGAATGTGTCAGCATACACGGGTGGTTTTTCATGGCAAAGGCTTGGACAGAGCCGTCACGCTAGCAATGCAGGAACCCTTTGTCCATGCATTCATGTACGTATTTGATGTGTGTGCATTTGTGTGTGCATGCTGTGTACCTGCCATGCACCTTTAATGTGTCCGGATGTTCATGCGTAAGACCAGGGTGCAGGGATCCTTCTTATGGGTATGTTTGTTTTTCCTTTGGAATGAAGCAACAACATTGTCCCCCTTATGTTGTCCCGTGTCCATAGTAGTTCTGTGTCGCATGAGATTTCCAACGCACGCACTGCACTCGGAGTTGCCCTAGGCAATGACGGAAGGAGCGTTGGGCTGCCCATCAAGAGTGAATCACTGTCAAAAGATCTCTCAAAATCATTCGAGCGATCTGCAAGCCTTTCTGGCCTCCTTTGCCGACTTTTTCACGAGCTCAGCTGAACAAGAACGCCATCCAGCAACCCAATCAATACCGAAGGGGTAGGTTCCTTGGACAATCATCAGGGAACATGCCTTTTCCTGGAGCTTACCAGCAGCCCATGGCACGTTTTATCCTGGATGCGATATTAGCACTTGGCTCAAAACCGTGCAGCAACCGCACCTTGTGCCATGCTACTCCGAACACCAGATTTGCCAGACGGACAGGTTTCGACTGCCCCAACGATTCTCGGGCCGCGCTGCTTGCAAGTTGCACAAAATGTTTGGAGTCATGTCAGAGATCGTCATGTGGCTGTGTGACGGTGTGACTCCCAAAGTCCGACAAGTCGTCGTGAGAGGGGACGGGGCTTTGAAACAGTCCGTCCTTTTCCATCAAGGATTCCTGAGGCATTTGTTTGGGAATGGTCCATGTTCCTTGAGCAATATTGCGTGGGCAATCTGGGCAATGGCTGGTTCCCTTCGCAAAGAACCAACTGGCCACGACGACCCGTTGGTCCGTGGGTTGTGTCAATTGAGAATACAACAAAACAGGTTGGCTGTATTGAAAGCAATCCAAACGAGCGCAGGGAGCTGGGTGGGCACCGCCAAAGCCACAGCGTGCCTGGACTGCGTGGCGGGCACCGCCAGCAGCCAAGTCGGCGCCACCACCCAGGACTGACGGTTTCCCAACCAAAAGTGGGTTAGATGCATTTGTTTGGCTTCTTTACTTCTTTACCTGGACTTTTTGGGTAGACCTCTGTAGTGCCAGGTGTCGATTCTGACTTGGCGCGTCAGGAGTGGTGCCTTCGGTGCACGATCGGCAACTGGTCCTCCGCCGGCGCGGGCGCCTGCGAGGCCTGCGCTGCAGGGCGCTGGTCGGACCAGGCCGGCGCCTCCGAGTGCCAGGACTGCGCCACGGGGTTCTGGTCGCCGGGGACTCAGCGATGCGGGGGCCGGGGGTGCGTCGCACAGACGATCGGGGGGGCGGTGCCCGGTTTGCAGTTTGCTTATTTTTCTTTCTTTCCCCATAGGTTGACCCCTGGTTTAACCATGAGCACGGGACCGGGGTTTGAAAGGACCATTGATTGCAAGGGAAACTCATGCGACACACTGGCAGTACTCGCCTTGCTCGGATGGCTTGTTGATCTTGGTATGTCTTGATACTAAAGTTGGTCTTTTGGTAAGAATGTGCCAATCACGGATGCATTTCTTGTCAGCTTGATTTGGCCAACCATTGCCGGTACAGCTCTGGAGTTGGCAAAACCACCCTTGAGTGACCCAAAGACAGGACACACACGCACACAGGCAAGGGCCTCCAAGATTGGCACTTCCTCAACACAAATACCTCTTAAGTCTAAGATGAAAGATGAACTTTTGCGATTTGCGATAGGTCCGAGCCCAGCTCCACCAGCTGCAGCGCTTGCGCGGCCGGGCGCTTCGCCGGGCAGCCGGGCACCTCCTCCGAGGAGGTGGGGGGGCGTTGGCGTCGCGGGGGTCATCGCGATGCTGCGAAGACAGGGATGGCCCTATTTTTTGGTATAGATTTCAGCGCAATTTTGAGCATGGCTATCCCTCTCACCTACAGTCTTGACATGTGCATCACACATGCATGGAGCAATTGGCATGTTGCCTGATTTGAGGAGGCCGGCGGAGAATCACTACCATCCTCAGAATAGTTCTCTTGGTAAAGCTCTTAAGAGTCAGGCATGCGGTGGACGGACGAAATTGCGCACCAAAGCAGACACTAGCAAGCTAAAAGGCAGACCGTATGTGCCATTGCTAGTTGTCACGATTTGGCACTGTCCGTTCTAGAGCGATGCCCAAGATCTTCGTGTGCAGCATTCCCACCTAAGTTTGGATGGAGAAGCACTGGATTCCCTTGACCGAGGTTGTCTGAGTTCTACTGGGACCCTGGTTGTGTCAACCCCGGGTTGATTAGGTGGTGGCCCCTTTTAGAGGGCACCCTTCACTTTTGGGATTCCTATTTTAGATGTTCTAAGAAGCCGCGTTCCGCTCGCTTGCGCCGAAGGATCAATCATGTCTTTGTCGCATTGAAAGGAACCCATTTGTTATACGCGTGGAGCCGACACTTGTTGATCCAGGTGGATTCCGGGATAGGAGCCCGAGCCCAGGGCTGTGAGCTCTGCGTGCCGGGCCGCTTCAGCACCGCAGAGGGCGTCAGCAGCTGCCAGCTCTGCCCCAAGGGCCAGTGGCAGGAAGCGCCCGGGGCACCTCGTCTTTCAGCTCGCCATTCCTTTTTCCGAATTCCCAAGTCCTCTTGCAATCGGTTGGGCTTTTCTTGCGGTGCTTGTTGCTGCCCTTGCCGTCATGGTTGATTGGCTGTGCCTGCGGTTGGGGCTGCGTGGCCCTGGTTTTGTGGCGGTTTAACTGTGCAAACGTGAGCACCCAGGCGACTGAGTGCAGCGTTTGCCTGGCTGGCACCTCCAATGGTGCCGAGGGCGCAAATAGCCAGGCGCGCTGATTGGAGCTGGCACCGTTGGATCCGACTAGAGCAATACATGGAGACCAGGTCCTGGATCTGCTGCAAAACGAGAAGCGTCACCTGCTTGGTGCTTCAATCGGTGTTGACAAAACTATGCAAAGAGACCTGAGCGTGTTCGGGCGCTGATTATGTTACGTGCTCACGGCTGAAAAAAATGGTCTGATTGTATTGTGACGCATTGAAGGGGCTTGCATGAGTCCACACCGCTTTGCCGTTCATTTGCTTCGTCTTGCACATGTGGTTGGGTGTTTTCTTTTGGCTGCGAAGCCCGGATTGGGTGAACCCCTAGCCCCTGTTTGAAGTCCCACTATCCGAGCAGCACAAGCCAACACCTGACAGGCCGGTCTCAGACGTGGAGGTCGTTTGCGTTCTGCTTGCATCGGCAGATGCCTTGTTGGCCACGCTCATTCTGAGACACACACACACACACAGATGAGTACAGGTGCAGATCCCATTGAGTTCTGGAGGCAGGGTTCAATAGCTCACGCATTCCCACCTGAAACTGCCATTGCAAGAGGTCGCCCCCAGTATGCATTCATTCGGCAGCAAGGGCAAACAATTGTGCCCATGTGTCTGGATGGGCAGGGAGGGGGCATGTCCATCCCTCTCATTCCAAAAAGCATCACACTTTCATGCAGCTGAAGACCGAGAGCCCCTCATCCACGAACTGTGATGGAGCCCTGAGCCTTTTCGTTCGCGGACACCACCGATCCAACTTACATTTTCCTCGGTTAACCATAGCAAGGAGCTTCTTGGAGCGAGGGCTTAGACTCAATTACCCTGTATACACCGGTTCAAAGGGAAAAGTAAGTTTGAGAAGCCCCTCAAAATGCAACTTCATTTCACCCAGTTGAATCAGCCGGCGTTTTACTCCCAGTCCCTCTGCGCGCCCTGCCCGCTGGGCTCCTGGAGCGCAGCCGGGGCTGGGGAGTGCAGCGCCTGCGTCAGCGGCACCTTCAACGGCCAGCAGGGCGCCAGCGTATGCGACGACTGCCCCATGGGGGCGCCTGTGCAAAGGGTGGGAAGGAGGGCTGCCATGGACACGAGTCCTTTGTGCAGCCCCAAAACCAATCCCCCAGAAGGTGGTCACAACAAACCCAAAGTGCTTCGTGGTCTGTGGCCTTGCAGCACGATAGAAGGGGTTCCTCATTTGTGGGGAAACAAAACTAATCAATCTGCAAGGAGAGGCAGGAGACCACCACTGTCCTGCAAAGAATATGGATCTTTTGATGTGAATTGCATGATTTCCCTGCTACTTGGTCCGGGGTGCGGTCGGGCAGCGGCTTCTCGTGACTCAGCCACTTTGTCTCTGGGAATCGTAGTTTTTCAATCTCTGGCTGGGCATGCTTTGCTTCTCTGCAGTTTGGGTCCTGTAATTCCTTTTGCACTCAAGCACGCAGTTGGAACAGTTTCCCGCACAGCATGTAAGGAAACGCCGGAAGCATAGTTGCAAAGAAGGCCATCCACGGAATGCCCGCTGGTTGGGCATCCCTTTTCAACTCCAGAGTCACACATCTCGGGGCCGAATCGTCTGCCGAGAAATATGGCGACGGGAACGGTGCCACTGCAGAGGCTGGAAGGGTGAAGCTGGGAGTAAGAGCCGGCGGCAGGGAATTCTTGATTTGCATTTGCTGAAATGCTGATGGAGTGGGTGATGTTGCCTTGAGCCCAGCAAATCCGATTGCTCCGGGGTGGCTCATGACACTACAGCCCCACCAAACCTGAGACTGGACGGAACACTTGTGTTGAGCTGCCAGTGGCAACGATTTGTCTCCAACAAAAAACACGGATTTGGCCGGCCGCACCGAAATCGGCGAATCGGCCAGGGGGACTGCCAGCTCTGCGGCGTGGGGCGCTTCAGCCAGCAGCTGGCCGCGACCTCCTCCTACGCCTGCGAGCCCTGTGCCGCCGGGCGCTTCGCCGAGGAGGAAGGCACCTCCGAGTGCGCCTCCGGCTGGGTCCGAAGAAAAGGCTCGTAGCCGAACACCCGAAACTGTGTGGCCCTCCCCCGGAAAGCATAGGATTTTCATTTCACAAAGGACCACCCTGGCAGAGCGTGTGTCCTGCAAAACTTTTGGACCAGCCTGGTCTGTTTACTTTCTCTGAGCCTTATGGATGTAATGTTGGCTGTAACAGCAGCCGCGCTGACCTACTACAGAGCACTGTCCCTCCTGTTGGTTCCACATCCCCAATCTCGCCTTTTTCTCCTTTTTTACACCCCAACAAATCGATCGCCCAGGTGCAGGGTGCCCGGCAGGGCGGGTGGGCAAAGTCATGGCAGCCTTCGAGCTGTCCTCCTGCACCTTCTGCCCCCCCGGCAACTTCAGCGGGGAAGGTTGGACCGACTGCGAGCAGTGCCCTGCTGGCCGCTTCACTGCATCCCAGGCGCCAGCGAAAGAGGGGCCGTGGGGTGGGTGCTTGCCCAACGGGCAGCACTTGCCGATTTGGGGGAGGCGTGGGAAGCAACATGGTTTTGCAAGCTGAAACATTATTGTTAAGTGGCGCCACGGGCACGTCTGAAGTGTCCGGCCACGCCGAAGCAATTGGAGCTTTGTCCAAAGCCCCAACTGCACGGTGTTATGATCTACAGCGATGAAATATTTTCTTCCCAGGCCGAATCTCGGTGCACAGATATGTTGTAAGTGTCATGTTGGCGCAAAGCTACGGAATCGCACTTGGCTAGAAGATTTGATCCAATTGCAGTTCCTGGAATCTGCACAGCCGTGTTGCTGACCCGCAGGCCAAATCTTGTGGCACGATCGGTTGCAGAAACATGTTCACAGCAGAAAGCAAACGACATGTGGCAGGGACGTTTTGCTCTTGAAGCCACGCGCTGCTGCATAATATTCAAAGATGCCATACACCAAAGGAATCATGGTCAGCAAACCGCCCGATCTAGAGGTCATTGAGGCCGGCCCAGGACCCTCGCGTTTCCCCTGAAAATAACTGGGGTTCCTTCCCACCCCCACGGAAACCGGGGAGCGACATCCGCCCGCGCTCGGCGGACGCAGGGCACCTCGCTGTGCAACGCCTGCGGGCAGGGCAGCTGGAGCCGCGCCCTGGGCGCCACCAGCCGCGAGGTCTGCCAGCCCTGCGCCGCCGGGCGCTTCGGCCCCCTGGAGGCCACCACCGACACCAAAACAACACGCCTTGCCGCTTTTGAAGGCGAAGGCCACGGTTGATTTGATCTGTGAAATTTGCACGTCCCAAGGCGTAACAGAAGCAGCGCACGCAGTCAAACAGTCAGGCAGTCATGCAATGCACGTCGTCACATTCACAGCGTTTGACACAGGCAGCTGCACCGTGGGAATGGTTTGGGATTCACGATTGGCACATGCGGTTGCAGACTGAGCGCCATGCAGGTGGCCTCAACTCCAGAGAGCTGTGAGTCGTGTCAGCCGGGGAGGTGGATGGACCAGGAGCGATGCGGTAGGGCCAAGTCCGTGTTCTTGCTTGACACATCCGATTCGAGTGCTGGAATCTTTGTCAACCGATTAGCCTCGTTGGGCATTTTGTGGGTGCCTACCCAGTTGAGAACTGACAACAGCCTCTGCAAGGTCATTCCATCGTCAGGCTGAGCCTTTGGGCATCTTTGGTTTTGCGGAGGTCGCACAGATGAGTCTGGCGTGCATCAGACATCAAGCTCTCTCATTCACGAAATCCGACTCAGTTTTGTCTGATTGCGTGGCCTTCATCTTAAGCAACTGGCCTTGGTGTTCCCTTGGAGGGATAGTGGCCATTGCTTCAGACGTCGCGGGCATCGTCCCCCAGTTCGGTTGAGTCAGTGCCAAGCCGGAGCCACGCGCGCCGAGGAGGGCGCCCCGGAGTGCACTGCCTGCGACCCGGGCCGCGCGGGGAACCAGACCGGCGCCACAAGTGAGGCGGTCTGCCAGGCAGCTTGGGGCAATCTGTTGAGTGCCTCGCACCGCGATGACAAAGCCTGAGTTTTGGCTATAGGGAGAGGATGGTACACAAGAGGGGAGGGGGGAGGTTTCATGCACCGCAAGTAAAGTGTTGTGGAAAGAGATCGCCTGCATTGGGTCTTCCAAGGCATGATGTGTTTGCTATTCCTGTCTCCAGTACCTTTGCTGGCGTTGGCCGTCCTGAATCCTGACGCAGTCAAGCTGGGTACTGTGTGGTTTCAATGGGTGCTCAGCTCAAGGAGACAGGAAGGACACCAACAGGTCAGACAGGCAGGGATCCAATTAAGACACTCAGACCTTGGCGCTAAGTCTGGGCTCGTCCAAAAGGAGATCCCCTAGAAGTGGGCGGTGTGAATCAAGTGATTTTCTGGGGTGTCCGTTTTCCTTCTCCCAGCTTGCTCCAGACCTGCGGCCGTGGCGTCTTCAGCGCCCCTGGCTCCTCTGGCTGTGGGCCCTGCCCCGCGGGTCGCTTCGGGGACGAGGAAGGCCTCGGAGAGTGCCGGGCCTGCCCCAGGGGCCGCTACGGGCCATCCCAGGGCTCCCTGAGCGGCCACACCTGTGCCTCGCCAAAGCTCAGTTTGGTGGAAGCTGGGGCTCCATTGAATGTGGTGCTGGGGATGGGCTGGTTTCATCCACGGACCAAACTCTATGGTTCTCCTGCGGAATTGTAATGGCTCACCTTTCTCTTGGAATTAGGGCCTTTGTTTAGTCGGGCAGAAGAGGTTTGGCATTATTTGCTCCTTGACATGTTTCTTGGATGGCACAGACGTTTGTTGGCGGGCTCTTCCCCCCTTTGGCAGTAGGCCAAACACATGCCGAAGGTCAACGTCATGTTTCAATTGGCCAAAGGTAGAGAGGCAATCGAGTACAATCCGACGGCCAGTTGCCTTCCCTTCAACACGCTTGGCCGAGACGAGCTGTCCAAGAAAGAGGATTTTTCTCCAGTGCTAATGCTGCCATACAGAGCGGCACAAGGCATGCAAACAGGTCTGGAAGGTTCTCCTGGAATTTTGGCACTTCCCCTCCGGTCTCCAGGCAAGTTCCACGTTTGACTCCAACAGCTACTCCTCATCTTCTTTGTGACAGACTGGCCACCTCTTACGCTCACTTCCCCTTCGGTGGCCACATGCATCTACAATCTAACAACATGTTGAACGGTTTTGCCGCGACCTGTCCTTTGCTCAGGTTTTCCCTGCCCAAAGGGCTACTGGACGCTTGAGGAAGGGTCCGCGCACTGTTCAGGAGCTCTGATGTCGGTTCTGCCGAGTTCGGCTTGCACACATCTGAAGATTGCCCTTGTTCCTGGACAAAGAAATTGCAATGCAATCCATGTTCCCCACTTGCCAGCTAAGAAAGATTTCGGTTCCGAGGCCAGCCTGGCTTTTCCAAATCCAATGAACTGCCACTTCTTCAAGTTGATAGCTCTTTGTCGCGGTGCTTGAGACGGTTGAGTCATGCATCCATGCCATGACTATTGTGTGTCTTCATGCTTTCAGCTTTCAACTGAAGTTTCTACCTCGTCCGCGGTGTTTGGCACAGGTCAGCCTGTTGGTGAACGTGTGTGGTAGATGCATCATTTGATGATGCAGATGATTAGCCTCAAACATTTGCAACATCAGCAGCCAGATGGTTATTGCAGGAGAGTCTCAGACTCAGTTTCTGCTCCCAAAGCTCATTCTTCGGTGGCATCTCCAGTGGCAAACATCTCTAATCAATTCGCCCTCTCGACACTTTTTGGAAAGATGCAGGAACATTCGAACATGAGCAAAGCAGCAATTGCCACATTGCCACTGTCCCCAATCCAATCCCCGTGGCCAGTTCCCAGGATGCGCCGCTGGCAGCGTCAACACAAAGGAGGCGGCAGCCGAGGAAGGCGGGGCTTCGGATCCGAGTGGCTTGCTGGTTTCGTTTGAATACGTTTGAATAGCATTTACTGGGCTTCTGCATTGAAACTTTGCCAGGGATGCACTGAAATGTTGTATGTTCAAATGGGACCCATCCCATGGTTGTTCGAAGGAGGTTAGCAGATGGTGATGTTCTTCTGGTCTTGGACCACTTGCCGATTGATCATCTAAGGGGTTCCGATGCTGAGGGACGCCACACGTGATTGTTTGGGCATGGCATCTGAGGTGTCTGCGTGGCACAGGAGACGGGCGCCGCAGCTCAGCAAATGGGGGGCTCCCCTGGCTGCATGTAGATTCGCTTATTTGACATGCAAAACTTGGAGGGGTTCAGTTGTTTCTATCGTGAGTGAGAGGGGTGCCATTTGCGTGCTGCTGTCCAGATGCACGCTCCAATAGGACTGGCAGACGGTGATGGCAAGACTACTGTTTGGCGGCCAAAATCTCAATGCCCTCCCAACATCACTCTCTCCTCATCTTGAACCGTTTTGCACCAGAGGTGCAGTGAAACAGATTCAAAAGGCGGCATGCGAAGCCTGAGACTGCTTTCCAACTTATGTAGGTCTGCTTGTGACCTCTGGCTGGCGAACACCGCCGGAAGGTCTTGTCGGCACTGCCATTTCATTGATTGTTCTTCCCGACCTGTCCTCAGGTTTCATCCTTGTCTTGGTCCTGACGCTGCTTTAGGCTTGCAGGCGTGCCGGTCGCAGTGAAGCGCTCGGGGCAGGAGTGTTGGGAGAGTCTCTCACTTGTGCGACCACACAGATTGGAGGAATGCATGGAAGCCACTTTCTCAAGCATCTGGTTAGTTTTGAGTTCTAGCTGCAGGGAGCGACAAAGGAAGATTGGGCATCCACCCGCACATCTCAGAGCTCCACATTCCCAGTTGTTCATGCATCCTTGCAATTGATTTCCTGCTGTAAGCTGAGTGGCTTGCTCAGGGATCTTTCTTGAATTGTGCGTCGCAAAACAGCCTCCCTACTGCAGTTTCTCTAGTGGCTGCCTTTTTACTCGGGTGCAGGAAGCGAACCTGGTTCAAACAAATCGCGTGAATCTATTTGGACGCCTTGGCACGTGGATGTGGCATGCAAGTCTCAACGCTTCTCACATTGACAAAATGACATGCTTACATGCAAAAATGACATGCGCAAAGCCATGCTTCCACCTGTTGATGTCGCTAACTGCCTGACCCAAGGCTTTTTGAATCACCTGGAGATTTGTGTTGCCAGTGAAGCCTTTGCAATTTACAAGGTGTCCTTGCACGTGAAGGGATTTCAACAAGGGCTCTAAGCAACCTTGGCAGACCCTCCGAACTCAGCGCCCGTTTCAGGACCTGAGGCTTGTGAGAGGTGCTCAGTGACACAAGCTTCACTTGACACCTGCCGCAGCTACGTTTGAATGGTCCACTGGGAAGTTCGGATCCACGTGAGGCCACAATTTGCCTTTTCAAGCACGAGGGCTTGGAGGCACTGGAGGGATTGGGGCCCGAAACCCATTTGACTTGAGATGGACGAGGGGATATGATCTGCGGCAAATGCCAGGTGTTTGCTTGAAACCGGTTAGATCGGCCCATGAGTCTTTCCTGGAGTGCCTGTGAGCCGAAGGCTCAACGACACTTCGAGTCCTTGAGACGCCTGCAGATCGTGCAGGCGTTTTGGGTGTGTCTCTTTGATCCGAAGGGTCGTGAGGCAGCGCGCCGAGCTCACCTAGCAATTGCATGCCCAGGGGGCTACAAAAGCCGGTACAGGCCTCAACAAAATGAGCTCAGGATAGGGCATTGACACATGAAAGGGTACCATTTGCCGATTAGAGAGCTCCCTGGGCATCTTTGTTTGCTATGTGCGGCCCAGGTTGGAAGAGCGATCAAAGGCTGCGTGTAGTGTGACAGCTCCTGGGTTGCCCCGCAATCGCCCAGCAACATGGAAGGGACAAAGTGTAATTCGGCCAGGAGCTTTTAACATTCAGCTGGGCTTGGCGGGGACTCGTTTAGACCGCCTTGCTCGCATAAATCCGTAGAAATGCAAACAAGTAAACTCGTGCCTGATTGGAAGGGGCTTGGAGGTGGGGTCACCGCACTGGGCACCCAACAGAATCAGGCAGTAGGGCCCCCAGTTCCTTCCCTCTGTGTGTGTGTGTGCATGGGTTTAGCCAGCGCCTCGCTGTCTCATGGTCCGAAGCACGCGTGTCTGCCTCTCAGCAAGGGGAATGTGAACATGAGCAGCAGGGTGAACCTGCAGGCCAACAGCCGAAGGCAGACCTCGCTTTCACTTGGAGGCAGGTATTTGGCATGGAGTTCTCATCCCACGCAAGTTCGAACTGCCAACTGTAGACCTTGCAAGTTCAATTCTGTAAGACTGTAGGCTAACACTGTCAGCATGGGCGAATGCAATTGTAGTGTTTTGGACGGGTTGCCTCCAAAGACGTCCCAGGCAGCACTATGGCTATACATCCCCATGTAATTGTCCGCGACAGGGTCCCCAGTTGAGATTCATACAGGGAGTCTCCAAATAGCGGTCCACTAAAATGGTTGGTTCCCTTTTGGCCTTCCCTGAACCGACCAAAGGGGCCCATGTTGAGAAGTGTCCGCAACCATTGGCTTCTTTGAGCCTTTCGCACCCGATGCCGCCATGAGCGCCGCGACCCTGGCCCTTGCCGCGGGGCCCAAAGCTCAAGCCAAGGCGCCGGAGGCGCCGCGGCTTTTTGTTTTGAGCGTTTCTCAAAACGGAGCCCCTGTTAGGACTACAGCTGGCTTGTTTGGAAAATGAGGGGTTAGGTGGACCTGAAGTAGTTTGGTCAAACAACCAATCACGTTTGATAGACGGTGATCTAAGATTCAGGCGGATGGCTTGGGATGGACGTTCGGTTGTGGAGTTCGAATGCCAATCCGCATCGCAGCTCATGGCACCTGGCATTTGGTGAGACTGCTTCTCACAGCAGATTCGGTCTTCAGCTGGAGCGCTGGCAGGCAAATGACTCAGACAACGGCGAGACGTTGGAGGCCGGCCTGCTTCAGGAGGTGGCAGCAACGGGGTGTGCTTTTGCGGCAGTGTGATTCTGCAACAGTGTGACGCTACAACAGTGTGGCTGGGTGTGCCAGAGCAGCAGACAGCACAGCAGCAGTATGGTTGTGAGAGTGCGTTCTTGAAGCCCGATGAGCGTGTTGCGTCGGGTTCTGGTGGGGCAACGCAGGCGCCAAAGTCTTCAGAGCTTGAGCAGACACATCAGGCCCGCGCAGAGTGATGTGAGCATGGAAGCCTCTGAAGCAGAAACGGTAGATCATGCCGCGCCGCGCAGACTTGCTGCGAAAGGTGATGGCTGCATTCAGACGTGTGTGCAAAGCAACATCACACCAGGAGAAGCCCGCACCGACTGAGGATCAAGTGGAGGCCAGGGCCAAATTTTGTGTGCTTGCAATGGTTTGATTGATAGAGACCATTTTAGAATATAATCTGCCATTCAAGAACAGCACTATTCTTTGCACATTTGTGTTGGAAAACCGCAGGATTGCAGCTAGCACGTGGCAAACATGTTCAACTGGGGTGCTGGCAGGCAAAGGGCTCAGAAAACGGCGAGGAATTGCAGGCTGGCCTGCAGCGTGGCAGTGTGCTTGGGTGGCATTGTGACTCTGTAACAATGTGGCTGTGTAGTGCAGAACCGCAACAACGTAATTGTGAGAGCATGTGTAATGTCGGGTGTCGGCTGTTCGCTCCCTGGCAGGCAACTCAGGCGCCGCAGACTTCAGAGCTTGAGCAGCCACATCAGGCCGGCACAGAGTGATGCAAGCATAGAATGTTTCCACCTACGAAACCGAAGCAGTGTCTGTAGGATCATGCCGCGCCACGCTTTGCGCAGCAAAGTTTGGGCCCCAAGGTGTGTCTTGCATCGAAAGATGATGGCTGCATTCGGACGTGTGTGCGAAGCAGCATCACGCCAGGAGAAGCCGGCACCGACTGAGGATCAAGTGGAGGCCAGGGCCAAATTTTGTGTGTGTGCTTGAAATTGTTTGATTGATAGAAACCATTTTAGAATCGGCCAGTCCGCTTTTGGCTGGCTTTGAGGTATACACCGTGCTTTAGTTTGCCTTGAAGTCTTGTGTTTATTAGACTGAGTGAGTCGGCGCCGAAATGCGTGAGCTGGTTTTTAAGGTAGAGGGTTGGTGCATGTCTGCGTTTCCGCATGGCTTCGAGGCCGGAACGAGAGCCGCAGAGAGCTACAGCTTGGGCAGCGAAGACAGGGAATTTGACTGGTTTCTGGATTCTGGAAGGAGTTGACTGGCGTTGGAGAGGGGAGTTTGATTGGTTTGTGATTTAAGGGGATTTTGACCGGCTTTTGGAGGTTTTGACCGGAGTTGGGCCGGCTCGGTTTCTAGCGGGGAATTGATCGGTTTCTTGACTGGTTTCTGCGTTTTTTAGAGGGGATTTGATCACTTTCTAGAATTTGCCGGTTTCTGGGGGAAATTATCTGGTTTTGGAAGGGGCAAGGTAGTTGAAGCAGGGATTTTGGTCGCGCGACATTGCGGTCGGGTTCAAGGGGGTTGGGGATGGGGCTTTGGATAGGTTCTGAAGGGGTGTGACCGCTCCCCGGCCATGGCGAATCTGTCATTCAAGAACACTATTATTTGCACATTTGTGTTGGAAAACCGCAGGAGTGCAGCTAGCAAGTGGCCAACATGTTCAACTGGGGTGCTGGCAGGCAAAGGGCTCAGAAAACGGCGAGGAATTGCAGGCTGGCCTGCAGTGTGGCAGTGTGCTTGGGTGGCATTGCAACTCTGCAACAATGTGGCTGTGCAGTGCAGCACTGCAACAACGTAATCGTGAGAGCATGTTCTTGAAGCCTGCCGAGTGCGTGATGTCGGTGTCGGCTGATCGATTCCCTGCAGGCAATTCAGGCGCCGCAGACAGAGCTTGAGCAGCCACATCAGGCCGTCACAGCGCAATGCGAACACAAAAGCCTCTTAAGCAGGTTCAGTGACTGTAGGATTGGCGCCGCAAAGTTTGGGCCCCCAAGTGCGTTTTGCACCGAAAGGTGTGTATTCAGACGTGTGTGCGAAGCAGCATCGTGCCAGGAAAAGCGCAAGCAGACTGAGGATCAGGAGGAGGCAGTCAAGGGAAAAGTCTGTTGCCTCACAACGGTTCAACAACTGATCAACATGTATCATTGAAAAGCAGCACAATACTTTGACCATTTGTACTAGAAAGCCTGCTAAGCAGCTGGCAAGTTGACTGGAGCGCTGGCAGGCACCGGGCGCTGACAGCGGCGAGAAGTTGCAGGCCGGCCTGCTCAAGCAGTATGGCAGTGTGCTTGTGCGGGACTGACTCTGTCACAGTGTGATGTGAAAGCGCATTGGTGGCAGCATGGGTCGAGAGTGAGAGTGCAACATTTAAGCCTGATGAGCGTATTGTGTGCTGCAACTACAACACTTGGTGATGCCGCAACATCTACCCTAATGTAGCAGGTGCCATTTGGAGGGAAGATGTTGTTTTTTGTTGCAAGTTGAGTCAACGCATGCCACACAGCAGGCGAGATCCAGGTATTCGGGTTTGTAAAATAAACACACAAGACCATGGTGACGAGAGCATGAGTCCTTCAGAGAATCTGCCAGGACCTTGAGCAGCCTGACCAGCCAGAGCACAAGTCCAAGCGACAAAAGGCCGGCTTCAGGAGAAGACGAGCGCGGTTGGCGATCTGCTTGACTTGGCGTTTGGCTCCCATCTGCGACACACTCCCATCCCCCCTTAGCTGGACTTTGACACTTTCGCCGTTGCGTTTTGGGCGACAGATGTAACCCCAGCAAATTGCACTGCCCTGCAATTTGTGCTACCAGTTGGTGTATGAGACTTTCCAGTCAGTCTTGACTATATTTATACATCTTCATTTCACATATATACATGCACACACAGAGACACATATGTATGCATACACATATCATGTATATGCAAAAGTGTTTTGCACACTTGAACATGTGAAAAGCAAGGGTTGCGAATCGGGGGCACATGTCAAACAGCACCATCACACACACATACATGCGCAAGCCAACAAATGGTTGCTGCTGGAAGGCACGCGGGTTGCCAGAGGCCTACCACTTGTCGCATTTCGCAAGCAACTCCGCGCACCGCAGCTGCCCTTCCATCAACGACAGACAACTGACAGAACCAGCTTCAGGGCCGGCCATTTTTGTGGCATCTCAAGCCACCTATTGAGCAAGAGCAGGTCGTGCAACCAACTGACAGTGTCTATGAGGTGGTTCCTTCCTCTTGTAAGAGAGATGCAGATACTGTGATTGTTCCTTTTGCAAACGATGAAGGCAAGATGGAAATTGGCATAGAATAGCGCCAGATCATGAGGGGTGTAGCTCTGCGGCTAGCTGCTACCCCAACAGCAAGAAGCACAGGGTATATCTCGTTGCAATGTAAGTGGCAGAATACTTAAGTCTTGGCTTTAACGTACCCCACAACCTCATCCCATGCATTTAGGCACTTGCATCTCTAGCTTGAAAACAGGAAGCCCTGCCACCTGTTCGGTCAAATGTGCAGGTGCCTAGCAAGCGGGTGCTGGTAGTGCGTCATGGGGAGGCCGGGGCCAACGGGCCGGTCCGATCTTCGCCCAAATGATGCAAGGGAGTTAGATTTTCCGTCACGAACCCCTTGTTGCTTCAGGCGACTTTATTTGGTTGAGGCTGGCCATTGTCAGTTGGTGCTTCTATTTGCTCTTTTCGCCCAACCCGCGAGGATGCTACCTCCTCTTGAGAGTTTCTTTGTGGGCTCGGGGGAAATTACATTGTCAGTTTCCCGAAGCCGGCAGCACCCTGTAAAAAACAAATGAAAGCTGAACGTTCAATGAGCAGCGCAGCAAGTGTCCAGGGAGCCGACCAAGAGTGGCTTTCGTCAAGTTCAGTGCCCATCAATGCAGTCATGATTCAAAGGGCACGGCCCATGGTCGCGAACGGGCTTGGGCCAAACGCTTGATTCGCCATGCTTAATCAGCCAAATTGAAAGGTTGGCAATTCTTGAGTCTTGACGGGGCCATCATCCTGCATTCTGTTAGCACGCACAACGAGGTGTGTCGATTAGCCACCTTGTTGTTTTCCCCAGCACAGGGTGGAAGGATATCTCAAAAGAACACGCTCATGCGATCATTGCAGACACGCGATATTGTAGTCAAAGTGGTGCAGCTGGCCTGAACAAAGCAGATCCTCGCATGATCTCCCACTCACACCAGCATGTAGGTATGACAGCTCTGGTGACATCCAGTTGTAGTGCGGGGGTCCCGTTTTGGGAAACTTTTGCCCCTTTTTGCGCTGTACCCTGTGGGCGGGGGGGTGGGCTGGCGGGGCCACTGCTAGGGCGTGCACCAGCTGAAAGGCAAGGCATGGCAAGCCCCGCGCCTGGGGGCCAAAACTGACTGAATGACCATTCGGGGGAGAAGAGCTCAAGCCATCACCGCTTTTTTTTGTTTTGGGCGGGGGGGGGATTTGGAATTTTGGTTGTCATCCGCATCGCAATCTTTTACGCTTTGGTGGTACTTGGACCTGATATGCAACACCGATGATGACGCGGCCCCGATACCTGCAGCAGCATCACCAGCTTATGGTCATTTTGTTGGAGGATTCCAGACCTTGTTTCCCGCCTGCAGTTCGTTTGTCGGCCGAGTTCGTCGCAAGTATCTCCATTTCCAATGTTTTTGCAAGCGATCACTTCACAAGTTTTTTGGAGCCTCCAAGCAGCCCCGTTGCAATTTTCGGAACATCGTGGCAAACAAAATCAACTTCCTGACTGGAGTCCCCTGAATTTGTACTCAGTTTTCAGATGGGGATTGATTGTTGTGGTGGGTGTTATGGGCGGGTGAGTTAGACTTTGTGGATCAGCGGCATGGTGCAGGTCCGGAAGATGGGGCTGGATGCGATGCAAAGGGAGGTCAGCGAACAGTTTGCTGGCTGGCGTAGCAATACTCAACCCTACGACTGAATAATGGTTTCTTTTGTTCGTTTGTGGCATCACGCCGTGGATTGGAGCAGAGATTGGATGGTCGGTGTGGCGTCTCTTGGTGTCGCGCCTGAGGCAACCCAAAACTGGGCCCGGAGCTGACCAAAGAAGGCCGGAGAAAATAAACTGGCTTGTTTCTCCCAGCAACCGAACATTTCTAGATGTCCAGGCCTTTTTCACGTGGTGCAGTTTTTATGCAGCGCATCCTTTGTATATTTTATAGTTGGAATCTTCAACTCCTGCTCAGAGACTCAATAGAAGCAGAGTCTGCTACTTAAAGGGGCTTCATGCACCCAAGGTGATGGGAATTCCTGCTCTCATTGTGATGGGAATCTGGGAACATTAGCCGAGGTTTGCTACTTAGGTCACTTGGGTTATTTGGGTCACTCACAACCGATTTCCTTTCAAGCAAGGCAAACCATGAGAAAATCTGGGGGCGTAGAAAGCATTTTCCCAGCGCCGCAAAATGCATTTGGTACCTGTCGGCCTCTGGTAGTCTTCCGGTAGTATTTTCGGGGGAGCCAAGGGACCCCAGTCAACCCCCGAGTGACCCAAGCGACCCAACAGTGACTCCACCCAAGTGACCCAAAGTGTTGGGTGCAAGCTGATTTTGAGCCGACCCAAGTAACCCAACAGACCCAAGTGACCCAAGCGACTCAAGGACCCAAGCGACCCCCTTAAGTCGGGTTTGGGGATACAGATCCGCTCTGCGCAACAGACCCGTGTTACAGCAGAGCAAGCCTGTAGCCCCAGGTTCGACTTGCTCTCTCCGCCATAAACCCGTTACTGCGGCTCAGAGTCCCTGTTTGAGATACAGACTTTTTTGCCGTCGTGCCAGGTGGCCATAGATGAAACCATCTCTATCCGAAAGAGAACTTAGGAGCGCAGACTTGCCCCTTTTCGCCGCGGACCCGCTTGTGTGGCAGAGCAGGTCCAGGTCCGTATCTCCGAGTCCTCGTCTAAGACACAGACTTTCCGGCTGTCAAGTCTCCGTCCACAAAGGACTGGGGAAATGCCCTTTTCAAGAGCGGCCTGCTATTGCGGCCTTCCCTTAATCTCTCGGGTAGTCTCATTCTCCAGGGCTCTCAAAATGTATTTTTGCACTCGCCGGCCTCCGGTCGTCTTGTCATGGTCTTCCCAAGGGCACCAGTGACCCAAGAGACCCAAATGTTGGCCCAGAGGCAAGTGCCCCAAGTGACCCAAGTGCCCCAAGTGCCCCAAGTGCCCCAAGTGCCCCAAGTGCCCCAAGTGCCCCAAGTGCCCCAAGTGCCCCAAGTGCCCCAAGTGCCCCAAGTGCCCCAAGTGACCCAAGTGACCCAAGTGACCCAAGTGACCCAAGTGACCCAAGTGACTCAAGTGGCAGGCTTGGCTGATCTAGGCACCCAATTACAAGTGACCTCAGTGACAGACGTCACGTATCCGAAATCCTCGCTGCGCTGGGACTGGGAAAGCCCCAAAGCCGTGGCCTGGTCACTCCAGGCCTGCGGCAGGCGAGGGCTGCCGGCGAGCTACTGGCAGGGCAGCCCAGGGCGACGGGGAATCCAAGCGGTTCACAAAGCCAACAAAGAGTACATGTCTCAAATAGCCTCCAAGGTTGAGACACCTCATTTCTTGTGGCTCTCCCATAGACAGTCTGATCTTCTGGACTTGAATGCGCAGCTTCAGAAATGGTGGCTTTAAGTCGCCGTGGCTTTCATCTGAAAGTATGTGGGAATCTTTGCGACTGGCACACAATAGGCTCTGCAAAATTCATGTGTATCGCGCCTTCGCTTGGCTGCCTGGCCAAAAAAGGCATCGGACAGCAGTGGATTGGTCTTTGATATGCACGGCAGGCTGTTGCAGGGCTTGTGCAGGCAGGTGACCCTGCAATCGCGGCTCAAAGAAAGCAACACTTCCCTACCTTCTGCTGACGTTGCCCGACTTGAATTGGCGAGATGGCGGTGCGGCTGGTGGATACGGTGGAAGAGTGCCGCATGTTTGCAGACTATGCGCTATCACAAGCCGAGTTGGCCTTGGACTTGGAAGGTGTGGAGCTTTGCCGTGATGGCCCAATCGCGCTCATCCAATTCTGCACGCAGCAAGGTGAGGTTTTTCTGGTGGACATAGCCGAACTGGGGCAAGCCGCTTTCGACCAAGGTGGCTTGAGGGCAGTGCTGGAGTCTCCGCATATCGTCAAAGTCATTTATGACGGAAGGGCCGATGCTGATGCTCTCTACCACCGCCACTGGGTCAACCTGCAAGGAGCATATGACCTTCAGGTGCTACATGCGCTCCAGTTCACTAAGCCGTACGATGTGTAGCTTGGCATTGGGGGTGTTTGCTTCAGGCCAGTGCATGTTTCGTCGCTTTAGCCCATGACTTTTCTAGTTTGCTTGGCTTTCTCATTGCAGCCGAGGTATCTGAAAGGACTTTCACAGTGTCTGGATGATGCAGTTGTTGTTCCGCTCTGGGAGAAGAACCGGGCCCGGAAGGTGAAGGATTTGGGCAGGAGCTTGTTCGTCGCGGAACTGGGAGGACGCTCGCTTCACTTTTTATCTTGCACATTCGACTTATTTGGCTGTGCGTGAAAGCTGGAGACCCTTTGCCTGCTTGCAGTGGACGCTTTCGACTACATTTCTTTGTATGTCAGGGCAGCCCCAATGAAGGACCTGACTTGAATTTACCCAGGAGTAGAAACAGTCATACACGCCAACCAGCAGATGTGTCAGATGCCCAGGTACGTCAGATGCGTGGATGCATCGGCCCTTGCCACCAATTCTGGTGGAATATGCGGCTTTGGACGTCAAATACTTGCTACCTGTCCAGAGGCTCTGGGGTGCTCGGCACTCTGCGGCCGTGCTTCGAGTGACAGAAGCGCGTCTGCGCCATGCGATGCTGGCGCCCGAACCTGCGAAGGGTCGGCACAAGCGCTTTCGCGACTTCACTTTGGGATCTGCTGCGCAGTTCCGGACAGGACAGTTCCCGAGAGATGAACGTGAAATCGCAAAGTGGTACAAGCATATGCTGAGGCAACGCGTTTGGTCCAATTTACCGTTGCCACAGAGCAGCGGCCCATAGATGTTCTTGGCATAGCTACCTTAGCTTTGCCATACTTTTGTCTTAGCAGACCCTGATACCGTTCCCTAAATTTGGCATTAGGTATCATGTCAATATGCGCGGTGCTGTACAGCTGTATAGTGCACAGGCTGCGTGCTTGGCGCTTACTTGCACCGGCTTTGGAAACAGGTGTCGCCCTCTTGGACCTGACCGGTCAGGTTTGGTCCTTATGTGTCATGTGCGACAGACGCTTTCCGCCTAAAGTTTCATGGAACAAGTCAGTTGATACGGTGCGACTATGCTCTCAGCGTAGCATGCCTCTGCCAAGAATCATGCAATCAAGAGAGAATGCATGCAACAAGTTCAGAGGGATATAGACCTCAACCTCCTCGTAGCTCTGACGCTCTGACGTGTTGTTCCGGCGCCAGACAGCAAGCAATGTTATGGTGGGCAGACTGCCATTGCTTCGGTGGTCTGAATGGGGTCTCAGCCAGCTCTGGGGGGATACTCCCCAAGCTTTTCTTGTCCCACAAAGCCTTTAGTCGTTGCCGCCAGTGTTTGATTTCGTCTTTTTTGCCATCCCAGTTTTGCGACTCAGCAAGCACTGTGTACAAGGTCCTTGCAGGACTGGTTTGTCCGGTGACATTGACGCTTTCTGTTTTTCTCTCGAGCAATCTGGTTTTGTCAGCTCGTGGCTGTCCGGGGTTGCAGTGCTTTGGAACGCCGTTTGAATGCTGCTGGACGCACCTGGCCTTAGCTAGATCGCGGCTCCAAAGATACCCAACATGGACGGGTCGGATTTTCCCCAACAGACGAAAGCCGAAAGAGTCACAGCAACTTCAGGCCAAGGAATTGGCGAAGCTCGCGGAGGAGGATGGGGGGGCGGCGAGGGCTGTTAGTTCGAGGCTTCCTGTCATGGCCGTTCTCCTGTCGCAGCTGAGGTAGGAAGGAAGTGTAATGTTCCGCAAGTAGCTATACTCAGCATCCAAGAGCGACGCTAGTTCGGCGCATTAGTTGGGTTTCCTGCTTGCAAACCTTTGAGCCATGTTGTTCCTGGGTTTGCCAGGGACCACTGATTTTGCAGTCTTTGTTTTATCAGCTGGAGGGTTGGGGCTGTGTGGGTTGAGGGTTTTAGGGCAGGTGCCGAATTTTAGAGCTATTTGGCCCTGGCCCAGGGCCTGAGCCGCGTGCTGGTGGTGACCTCCAACCTCTTCCGGGCCCTGCAGACAGCCTTGCAGGTCGCCCCGGCCAAGGCGCTGGCTTTGAATCACGGGGACTTCCGTTTGGCCGGAGCGCGATTTTGCTTGTTCAGGATGGGAGCCAAGGAACCAGGCATTTGTGTTGGGAATGCTTTCCTATGTTCTGAGGTTGTCACGCACGAAAGGATACACAGGCTTGGCGAAGTCAGATGGCTCACGTTGAACTGGAGCTGCACACATTGACGATTTGGTAGCCTGGTTGGCTGATTATGTTCGGGACTCTGTGACACTGGCCTCGATGAAGTACAGGTTGCAGATCCCACCGAATGCATGCACTACGTTGCCACACTGTGCTTATTTGGCACCGCATTCGGTAGTTGAATAAGTTGCTGGGAAGCCATGCCATAGCAACAGCTACAAGATCCACTATTGTTTCCGCTCATGATACGTGGAAGCCGGCCCACCGACGATTTTTGGATCTGGAAGCACTTGTGGAATGAGTTCATTTGGCTGCAGTGTTGGGAATCAAAGTACGGACTGAGTACCCGTTGCAGTTGACTTTCAAAGGCAATCTCCTTTTGAGGGATTTTTGCTTCATGCACTCTGGAATTTTGAGGGGACGCGGCGAGGTGGTGGTACACCCAGCGCTCCGGGAGCGCATCCTGGACGAGAGGGACGAGCCTAGCGAGCAGCTAGGCGTGATGTGCTGTGTTTCTGAAACGATGCCGGGGGGGGCCTGCAAGAAGCGGTTAAGTTTCTTGGGTTTGCCTTCGGGTCAATCAAAAGGAAGACCTGAACGGGAGAGGCTCTGGGGGAAAAGCACTATCCCTTCCTGGCCTGGCTGGTTCCTTCCAAATCGTGGTTTACTCTGACCAGAAGCCCGAGGGAGGAAGAGTAGCATTGTCATATGCGAATGAGGGCTTTTGTTTGATGCTTAAGGCAGTAACTTAGACCTCTGCCAACACACTCCTTCAACTGAGATTTGCAACATGTTTGCTTGCTTCCGTAGAGATAGCTGTGCATGATTTTTCCCCCGCGTAAGTACCAATTGGCAATTGGCTCCGTCGATTTTTTGTGGCAAGCAGATCCCGCAGCTGTCGTGCCTCTCATTTTCTCCAGCCTCTGAACTGAAGCCTCCAAGGATTCCCATTCCAGCTAGGATAGCAGCAACTCTTGGCCTTTGCCCCAAGTCTTTTTGTCTATCCAATATCTACTGTATCTGCACATCCTTTGGCCCCTTAGGCTCAACACGCTGCGGGAGTGGCTCGTGGACGAGGAGCAAGACCACAAGGCCACCAGATGCCCAAATGCGCGTGCAAGAGGCGTAGCAAAGAAGAAACGGGAAAGGCAAGGAAGGGAAAGAGGTTTGGTAAGAAGGATCAAATTCAAAAAGGAAGAGCAGAAGAAGCATGCATTGTGCAAAGCAATGTCAAATCAGCAAATGAGGCAAAGGAAGGCCAACTTAGTGTTGCCTTCTCTTCTTTTCTTGACTCAGTTGATGTTCAATTAATTACTGCGCATGTGTCCTATTTCTTTTCCTTTCTTGCCCTCCCGCATGCCGTCCAGTTCTGGGAGCATCTCCATATGAAGCGTTGCCTTTGGCAGTGGCCGAAGGTGCAGCTGGAGTTGTACGAGGACGAGCTGGTTGAGGCAAAGTCCTGGAAATTGTGTCGGCTCGATGACAGCGATTCTGCTTTGCGTTCTTTGGATGATCCTGTGTGCTCGATTGAACCATTTGTGAAGCCTAAACATGTATTCGTTTGCTTCTATTGCGTGCCGACCAACTGTTTGAAATAAGCTGACACTGTGTTCGAGAATCCACGTACAACAGTCTAGTAGTCGGCCGGTGGACGGCACCATCGAACGCCCAAAGCATCACACATGTACCGACATGACCTAGTGATCTCAGGGATGGGCCAAAATTGGACACCTTTCCAAGCCTTCTAGCTGGTGCCAGTCATCCCCGCACGTTCGGATTGCGGGTCGCAGGCGGGCGCAATGGCCACGGCCGTAGACTTCACAACGCAAGACCTGCACTCGGTTTATCTCCAGAGGCGGGTGGATGGGGGGAGCTCGGTCCAGCCTTCAGACGTTCCATTGACAGCCCATTGCGCACGTTCAGCGTCTGGATTGATCAACTGCGGGCTCGGCCTTTTTCAGTGAGACTTGGCATTTCCGGGGTCTTTTCAGCGAACTCTGCAAAGAGCTCCCGAGCTCAAGCTTGCAAACTATTGGCGGAGATGTCTTGGAGCCAATCCTCGCAGCCTTTGGTGGCTGCCAGGCTAGCCTTGAGGGAGCGCATGGGATGAAGAACTGGGGGGTGCGTTTGTATCGGAAGCCTGGGAGCAAGCTTCGGCGCCGGGGTGTCCACAGGTTGAACGGTCAATGAGAAAGCGGATGCTTCAGATAGGCTACTTTTTTGTTGAACCGTTTTGGCTTAGACTAGTTGCACCACTCTCCCTTGACCACAAACATGACAGACAGTACACAATTGGCAAGACCCAACTCGATGTTTGCAGGAGCTCAGGTCCCGTTTGTCTTGTGGGAACCACAGGCAAACGTTGTGCTGCGGGTCGATGCGAGCCATCCATGGTATCGTACTCCTCGCAGCAGTGGCTTTGGCAGTGGGCGGCCCAGCACACTGACAAAATCGTTTGTTTCCCCGAGAGGACATGGGAAACTTAGTGAGACCCCAGGACTTTGTGAGAATTGTGTTCTTAGTGCACCATGTTTCTCCCAAACACATCATTGACTGCAAATTTACTCATCTCAAATGGGACCCGGACACCTGCAGGTTTGGAGGGGGCTCTCTCATCCGTCGGGAAGCGCGGCTCAAGTTGGCTCAACTTTCAAGCCCGATGTCCGAGTCTTCAAGCTCTGAAAAGCCAAAGCCGGCAAGTGGTGGCAGCGGGAATGCTCTTGTTGCTGGCGTATTCTTGACGTACGTCGTCACAAAAGCCTTGGACAGAGTCTTCATTTACCGGGTGCAAAAATCCATGGCCCACTACAGCACCATTCTCATGAGCATCTATTGGCCGCCAGGTATTTGTTTGGCTTGCTTTTGCTTTCTCTTCCTTGTGAAATCCTCGCAGGCTTTTTCCAGAAAAGAGTCTATCTTGTCGGGCCTGCGGTGGTTCTCTCCTTGCAGCGAGCAAGCTTCCAGTCAGGGTCGGGTCCCCCAAACGTGGTTCATCTTGATTGCCTTCTTGGACCAAATCAACGCGACCTTCTCAGCACCTCCATCTGTATATATCCCAGTAGTTTTGCAGACACCATTGAACAACTTGGTGGTTCTTTGGGTAGCAGTCATTTCTTTCTTCTACTTGAAGACCCGCTTCAAGAGTGTACACTACGCGGGCATTTCTCTCATTCTGTGTTCCTGCATTGTGGGGACACTGGTAGAGCTGCAGGGGCCAGCAGATCTGATTTGCAAAGGACTTCGTGCTGCAACAGACGTTTTTAGTGATCCAAACTTGGCAGTCGGGCAAGAAACGAAGTGGATAGTGAACAACGCAACTGCGAAGTGTGTCAAAGGTCTGCCCCCCTACAAGGGCGCAGATGGAAGGATTCTTTACATTCCATTTGCTACTCTGGCCACTATGTACATACTGTTCATTGGAACTGTGGTTCCCTATGCCTTTGTGAACGTGTACAAGCAGAAGAAGCTGAAGCAGGTGAACCTAGACGTGGCCTGGGGATTCTTTTGGCAAAGCGTTTGGCAAGTTGCGTGGGGGCTGATATTTATCCCGGCATGTTGGATACCATGGCCCACGCCTAGCGGCAAGAACGAAGCTTCATCCTCCACGTTTGGACAGGACCTGTCAGATTCATGGACGTGCTTCATGGGCACCAACCCGAGGCCCCAGATCACGTCTTGTTCTGCAGAGCCGGCTTGGGCGTGGTTCCTTATTTACCTCCTCTTCAATGTTTTTTTCAACCTGTGCTTGATGTGGCTCATCAAGCGCATGTCAAGCACTTGGGCAGCCATCGGCGCAATCCTGTGTGGCAACCTGGGCGGTATCTTCAGCCAATTTGAGATTTTTAGTGGCAAGTCAGCTCAGATGCTGTCTATGGAGCAGTGGATGGCCTTGATTTTATCGTCTATAGCTATGTGGGTCTACAACATAGAAGATGAAGTGGACATACATGGTCAATCTGTATACGGCCAGAGGCCACGCGGCGACCACCGCTATGACACCAAGGGCCAAATGGGTTTGGATCCTGACTTGGACGATTTCCTTTCGGACCGAGAGCCCACTGCAGAAGACCACACGACATTATGAACTTGCCAGAGCCACGACCAGGATCAACACTTTAAAATTGTTTTCCAGAATTAGATGCCGAGATTTCATCTCGAACGAGGGGTGTCATAGAAAATGCTTGGGCCAATGTGCCAAAGAGGGGTGTTGGCAGCATGAGCTCCGTTTGTGTAGAGACTCAGTGGCGTGAAAAAAAGGAGAGCTCAGGATCCTGGAGGTTTGCTTCAGCCCCCCCCCCCATATTAACTGTAGCCACTGAGCCACTTAGACACCATCCTTTTTCCACAATTCCAGCTGCCCGAGGGAGTCTTCAGCATGGACAAAAGAGAGGCCAGGACCTGGAACAGTTCCGCCAAAGAATCACTGCCACGAAATAGCCTGTCCATACTTTGGCAGCAAGGAAACACATTTTGGGTAGGTCAGGGTAATCCCCAACGTTGAACTTCCGCCAGGAAATGATTCGATTTCATCCAGATAGGGGAAGCCCTGCATTTGCTTTCTTTGAACCAACCCCACCAAGGGATATACATACTTTGTTGCATTTTGCTTGGATGTTAGGACTTTAACTTTTTTGCCAACCTTTGGGCTTTCCATAAAGCCACTAAAAGCTAAACTTTTAGCAGGGGAGCAGAAAGCAACCGAGAAGATATACATATATATATATATTTATACACTATACATAATGCCCTCAACAAACCACATCCGAGCCCGTGGGTTTGAACTGACCGAAAGAACAAAGCTGAGGATGCCTTCGAGCACTCAGAGCTGGCCACCTTTCAGCCAAGCGAAGGCAGACCGCCCTCCAACGACCGCTTTTGGGGCGGTGCTTGGGTTTAGGCAGGGTGCTACGTTTTTTTTCTTTCTTCTCCCCCAAGCGGCAACAGGTCAACCCTGGCTCTCAGATTCCTTGATTTGCCTGGAACTTTTGCTTTTCGTGTGTTCCTCCGATAGTTCGCCTGTACTTCCGCCCGGCCACTCATTGGTGAAGCAAGCCGTTTTGAACGTGCTAAGCCACTTGTGAAAACAGGAAGCCAATTGCAAGGGCCTTTAAACAAATGAGTGCCAAGGCCCACCGTTGTTTCTGTTGGGCCTGTCTGGGAGGCCTGCGCAGCGGGCGGGATTTCGAGACATCCCTGAAGCTGCCGCGGCCGCCGCAGGAGGGATCCGGGCTGGGGATGGGGTTGGCTGGTGCGGACATTCGAGACAGTCGCCCAGCAACTTTGAATGAGAAAGCATTCCGGCAGGCCTGGGCCACTGAGCGGGTGTCGCTCTTCGTACCACAGGGCATCCAAAGGGTGGAGCGCCGCGGCAAGAAGTTCCGGGGTGGGCAGGATTGGGGCCTGTACCGGATGCGAGCCATTTTGCTTCCTTTTTCTTTGTCATCTATTGGACAGTACGTGGGAATCCAGTGGGCTTTTCATTGCTCCCTAGAGCACCGAGACAGCAGGGCACCGTTCCAACAGCCTTCTTGCCTTCCATAAGCTGACCCTCAAGGCCCACCAAAGGGTTTCCCCTCCCTGGACCACTTGTTTACAAGGCCCTTGTGAGTGAACAGGGGGTACCCACCAACTTCTCCAATTTGACCCACTTGCAGAACGGTTAGAAGATCGCGCCTCGCTCCAGTTGATGATTTTCCACGCCCATGCCCGGCAACGCTGCAGGGCCCATCCAAGGCCGGAACCGAAGCCTGGATGGGCGGTGCGGCGGGAGCCTGGCGAAGTAGTGTTCGAGGCAGGTCGTTGAGTCGCTCGCACCTGGCCGAAAGCAAGGTCCAGTTGGAAGCCACGTGGATGCCGACAAAATGGTGCTGCTCTTACGGGGCCGATTTTAAAAGCGGCACAGAATGACACCAGTGCGCCAAATGAGCGCCCTTTTCTGGCATCCCACCCCTTACAAGTACTTTAGTGTATGGGGATCAGGGCGTTCCGCAGAGGTTTGATGAAGTGCCGGCATTCCTCCAATCACATTGGAACACCTCCAACGTGTTTTGACAAAAGCAATGGCTTGAACAACGCAGATTGTGTTGCCACTATTGTCCCTGTTCCTGGCATTTGACCAGCCGCTGCGAGTGAGGGCCAACAAGACCGTCGCACCGTCGGGCCACTGAAATTGGGAACAAAACACGGCATTTCAATTCAAACCTTGCCGGTTTGGTTGTTGGTGTATGTTGAGTTTTCCAAGAAGGTGCGACTGATGGGCTTTCGGTCCAGGACCAATGCAATTCACACTCAAAGATTGCCCCCACAGACCCCCAACACCAGGCCCCAGAGTAGAAGTATGACACAAGCTTTTGTGAGGGCTTATTTGCCCTCCTGCGCCGCGGAAAACCTTTGACATTCATTTGGTCTGACTGTCAATAGAATCCATAGATTTGGCTTCCTTTTTCAACTGCCCATCTGGGATGTCTCATTGCAGACAGTCCGAGGCTCTGAAGATGGGCAAATGCAGTCCGACAGTCCCCTCTTTTTTCCATTTGGGCGAGGCCTCAGAGCCAGTGGCCGGGGCACTGGAGTTTCAGCTCGGCGTCCTCGCGGGCTGCGACTTTCCCAATGCCTCGGAGGCTCGCGCCGAAGGAGGGAAGGGGGTGCGAACGGATGGTGCCAAGATGGAGACCCAAAGCTTGATACCTAGACGCTTGTGTTGCTGGCCTCTTCCTTTGGCAGAAAGTATCAAGGTCATCATGGCGGCGCTTGGAGTGTATCTCAGGCGGTCCGGGCTTGTGAAGTTTGGGTCCTGTTAATATCCAAGCGGCTCTAGAGGGGCTCTGCCAAGCGTGCAGACATCATCCACATAAT